CTTCAGAGACACGCGCAGCGGGCGGCCGCCGATCTGGGCACCGGCCACCCCCAGCGCCGCGTGGGCCTCGTGGGGGCTCGCAAACTCTATATATGCGTGACCTTGCGGCCTGAGGGGCGGGCGGCGTTCGAGGGGGTGGGGCCGCCGGGCGCGACACGTGAGGGGCGGGGCCGCATGGCTGTGCATTCGCGTGGAAGCAAGGAGGTCAGGCGTGTCCGGGGGCGGGGCGCGACGCGCCGCGCCGGCCGTGCAGGGGTCGGCCGCAGCAGCCGTGGGCGCAGTCGCTGGCGGCCAGCTGTCCCGCTGGCAGCCCCGGAGAGCAGGCCCATGAGTGTAACCGGCCGCGGCAGGCCATTTGGGTGACTGGAAGCGGCATGTAGGGCGGAGAATGCGGTGCCGATGGCAACAGTGAACGGAAGCGGCACCCAGCCCGCGGGACGCGCACCTGCCGACCGCATCCAACGGTATGCTCACGCGCCGCACGTCGCCGCACCCCGCAAACAGCCGCGCCAGCGCCGCGCGGGACACCGCGTAGGCCAGGTTCGAGACGTACACGCTGCAGCCCTCCGCGGCTGCGCCGGCGCCGCCGGCCGGCGGCGTGCCGGCGCGGCGGCGGCTGCCGTCGTCGGACGAGTAGTCGGTGTCTGGGCTGCTCAGGAGGCCGCTCAGGGGGCTGGCCAGGGCGTCGGGCACTTCTGTGAACCCCAGCTCCTCCAGGCCGTCAAGCGCGCCCATCACCATCGCGACGATCGTGTCGGGGGCGCCGCAGGCCCGCGGGCGCGCCGCGCGCGCAGGCGCCGCGTGGTGGTGCGCTTGGGTGGTGCGCGGATGAGGTGGTCCGCCGGGCGCGAGGGCTGGGGCGGCGCTGGGGCTGGACCCGCTTGCTACGCTGCTTGGCGCGGTGCAGGTCGGAGGAAGCCCAGGCTTTGTGGCGCGGGTGGGCTCCCCGCCAAAGGAAGGGTCCCAAACGGTGAACAGAGGCGGCACTCTCTCACGCGTGAAACCACTAACTACTAAATTAGACTCTCGGAAGGTGCAACAAAGAAAAGCCGCGGTGTGAGGCAGGCTTTGCCAGAAGCGACACAGAAGAGGGACAGCAGCAGGACAGAAGGTCGGACGGCGCGACAGGTTCTGGGCTCGTGATCACGGGATCGACATATCAATGCAGATTGTTACGATCGGGCTGACAGCCGACGGACCGGAAGTCGGCGGCGTGATCTTCAATCCTGCGATCTGACTGGCGCGGGTGACTCAGTGCACCCTCAGCTGACACAAGGACAAATACCATGGTCCATTGAAACGTGGATGACGAGTTGATATATTCCTAATAGGCGCGCCCAGGGTCGGTGTCGCGGCCGAAACAATGGCGGCGGCGGGCGGCGCGACGCAGCTGCAACAACTTGTCGACGCCTTGAGAGCGACCAAGGACGCCAACACCAATCTCGAGGGTGCGCGCATGGCAACGTACAGGCGGGTCTGCTCTGCAACGCCGCAACCGCGCCGCCGCGCCGCATCCTGCCTGCCGCCCTCAACCTCGACACATCCCCCACTCCGCCCTGCCTCCGCGCGCCCGCCGCCCCCACCAGGCCTCCGCGCGTTCCGCCGCCTGCTGCGCCGCCCCGCGCCTGCGGCCGCGCTGCTGCGCGCCTACCTGGCCGCCTCGCCCGGCTGGCAGGAGCTGCACGCCGTGTGGGACGCGCAGCAGGGCGCCAAGTCGCCGGCTGTCGCCCTGGAGTTACTGCAGCTGCTGCATGACCTACTCAGGTTCGAACCCCCCACCCCAGACGCCCCTGAAAGCGACGACGAGCCCGAATCAGAAGCCACAGCGGCGCGCCGGGGCGGCGGCGGCGCCGGGGATGAGGACGGGAGAGCGGGGGAGGAGGGCGAGGAGCGGGCGGGCGAGGGCGGGGGCGGCGCGCGGGCGATATCAGACGCGCTGGACGGGTTGGCTCGCGCCATCCTGCAGCGGCGGCTCAAGGCGATCTACTTCAACCTATCCTCGGGTGCGCGCCTCGGGCGGGTTTTGGGGTCGGCAGCGCGAGCGGGCGCGCCGCTCCCTCTCTTCCATTGCCGCCCTGCTGCGGCGGAGGGGGCCCCTGGCTCGGCGGGGCTACGGCGCAGGCAGGCAGGCTGTCAGAGCAGCTGACGTATCCATTGCCAGACGTTTTTCACATGATATCTTGCCGTTCCCCAACCACCCCACTACGGCCCGCTGACTCCGACCCCGCCCCAGACTCGCGCCTGCGCGCCAACGCCACACTCCTGCTGCTCGCCGCCGTCGCGGCGCGCGGCGGCGCCGTCGCGCGGGAGCTGGTGGCGGCTCTCGACTGGAGCCTCTCCGCGCTGCCACGCCTGGCGCGGCCGCCCCGCGGCCCAGGATGGTCCCCAGGTGCGTGCGGCCCCTGTCCCC